TGAGAGAGGGGGGGGGGGGGGATTCGAGAGAGCGAGGAAGATTTTAACAAGCTGGGATGCTCCAGGTTGGTTTGACTATCAATTTAGTGTAAGGTATGAAATGATAATGCCATTAATGGACTTCTTCATTTGTCTGGGATATGTCAGGCATATACTTTAGAGTTGGAAGCTGAAGTGGCAAAGCTTAAAGAAATTAAGCAAGAGTTGCAGAAGAAACAGGTATGATAACCATGTTTGAGAATTACTGGATTAGTTTAATGTCCTTGATAAGTGTTATGATTGTGTAACCACGGGTTTTGAATGCTTCATGCAGGCTGAATTTATCGAGAAGCAGAAAAAACAGGTATAGACTTCTTTCGTGCTGTCAATATCTTGGATGAATTATGATCTACTTAATCATGGGACTAGATGCAGGGATATTGTAAATTAAACAATCTAAGCAATAGAATTATCAAATGAAATAAGGGCAGAAAGTAGATAATTTACTAATAGCAAAATGATTAAAGCTTCAAATGGTTGTTCCATCAATTGCCTAAGTGAATGGAGTAGCTGTACAACTTTTCTATAGAAGTCATCAGCTGTTAAGACGTGATAACTTCGCGAAGGAGACTGTCTGTGTAAGTGATTTGTTATGCCAAGTTGTTTGACTATAGGTCAAATGATGTTTTCATAACTAAATTTGGTGGTTCACTAGTCTGTTTTGTCCAATTGCAGTTATTGGAAAAGATGAATGTGCCATGGGAAAATAAACTAATATGCTTGAGAAGGACAGTGACGGGACCTTGGTAGTCAGTAGAAGAGCAAATTCCCGAGTAAACGCTTGGAGAATTGGTAGACAGGAGTTTGAAGTGAAATATCTTTTTTATGTCTTTTTTGTTTCAACAAACAAGTTCGGAGCCTGCTCCTCTACCCTCCTCCCAGCCTGTGAATTGAAATATGTTCTAATTCACATCTGTTCGTCACATGATAGATAACTTTATGTATAGTACAGGACAGGTGCTGTGTACCTGTACATTATGTAAACAATATTCTTGCATAAAGTTTCCTCATGTGCTTTTTTGTTTGTTTCACCATATGATTTTTTGGGGCAAGTAGGTTTGTCTCTTCTGTATCAAGCTTTTGTTTATATAATCACATGAACCAAATATCTGAAAGTAACTTTCTTACATAAACAGCCCCTTAAAGTTGCATGATCATTCATTTTGGCACTTCAACTAATGTTGGTTCCTACTAGACGCCAGAATGTATAAAAATAATGTTAAACATAGTGTTAGTAGTGTTTGCATTAGTAATGCTTGTATTAGTTATGCTTGCATTAGTTATACATAGAATATTTTTTATGCATTGTTTGATTTGATGTATTTAAAAAATACACGTCTTATGTTTCCCTTATTTCTAATATTCCCTTCTATTTCTAAAAATCTCTAAAATTCCCTATTTCTCTCCTAATTCTAAATTATTTTATAATGTATTTGAGCTAGTTTTTAATGTATCCGAGCTATATATTTGATAACGTTCAAAGATACCTCTTGAAAAGAAATATAAACGATCGTATGCAATATATTTACCCAACTATGAGTTGGGGTCGATCCCACAGAGAATATGGAAGAATATTGTCAATAGCAAATATTTAACTCGATAGTCGTTATATAAAAATGGGGGGATTTAAATTGAAATAAAATAAAAACAATAAAAAGATAACTTTGAACTAAGTATTTATTTATATTCAGATTATTAAAAGTAACTAGGAATGTGTTCCCCATAAGCTCATAACGC